AAAACATAGAGAATATTGAGAGTAGAGAGTGGAAAGTGTAGAGAGAATGAGAGAATGATAGTTGTAGAATATTTTCTGATTTTTCACTTATGTTTCATTCCTTACAATCAACATATATATACAAGTTCCTAAGACATTAGTCAAGCCCCCCAAGTTAGGCAACCAAACTAATTAGGCAACCAAACTAGTTAGGCAACCAACCTAGTCAAGCCCCCCAAATATTGTAGGTGCCAAACATAGTAGGTGCCAAACATTAATTGACTACATAATTAACACATTAATTGACTAAACATTGTAGGCTACCAACCATTGTAGGTGCCAAACTAATCCTCATTAATTGACTATTGCTAACAATATCAGCCAGGAGTATACTTGCTTTTTAGCAGAATTAAAATAGAAGATCCGACGGGTATGTTGAAGATACGACGGGTTTGTTTTTAACTTTAGTATTAATAAGATCCTTGAGGACTCTGATGATGAAGATACGACGGGTATGTTGTTTATTGACGAATTTGATTTTACTCCGACTATTAAGTTTCATCTAATTTGTAGGGATTTTCTGTTATTTTTTATTTTGTTACAGTCAAAGAAGAAAAGCAACATTATGATCAGACAATTGCAGTCACGACAGGCAGCAATGAATCCGGCGGCCTCTGTGGCTGGAAGGGGAAGGTGCTCATCTCCGCAGCTTGCTTCTTTCTCACGCTTTCTCTCATCACCCGGTCTTCTCTCTCACACAAAAAGAAGCGACAGTCAACAAGCCGTGGATAAACTTCGTACCTGAACTGCATACAGTTGTTCTTGCATATATCCAATGTTTTCCTTCCTAAGACCTATTTCGTTTCGTAGCATCAAATGCATCGATCTTCTTCGAATATGTATCATGCAATGCAATGCTCTCTTTTGATTCTTTTAGCTGCTCATTTTACAAAATTTATTTACGACAGGTGCTGAAAAGAGCCAAAATCTCAAGCGCATTAAAAATCTCAGTACCATATGTTTAATTCTATATCAAGAACAATCAAATGCATATCAAGAACATTCTCTTAGTATGTAAATTTTTCAGAGAATAAATCTGTAGACAACCAAATAGTGATTAATAAATGGAACAACTATGCCAGAGCGTTCCATTTTGAATAATAGAGTTGAGGATCGACTAAGTTCCTCACAAATCTCTTTACACACCCATTCTTGTTGCACTAACAGAAATGCTCAGCACACCCATGTTTCTCACAAATCTCCTTTACGCACCCATTCTTGTTGCACTAACAGAAATGCTCAGCACACCCATGTTTCTCACAAATCTCCTTTACGCACCCATTCTTGTTGCACTAACAGAAATGCTCAGCACACCCATGTTTCTCACAAATCTCCTTTACGCACCCATTCTTGTTGCACTAACAGAAATGCTCAGCACACCCATGTTTCTCACAAATCTCCTTTACGCACCCATTCTTGTTGCACTAACAGAAATGCTCAGCACACCCATGTTTCTCACAAATCTCCTTTACGCACCCATTCTTGTTGCACTAACAGAAATGCTCAGCACACCCATGTTTCTCACAAATCTCCTTTACGCACCCATTCTTGTTGCACTAACAGAAATGCTCAGCACACCCATGTTTCTCACAAATCTCCTTTACGCACCCATTCTTGTTGCACTAACAGAAATGCTCAGCACACCCATGTTTCTCACAAATCTCCTTTACGCACCCATTCTTGTTGCACTAACAGAAATGCTCAGCACACCCATGGATCTTCTACAATCACTCAAAACATTGGCCAATCTGATTTGGTTTCTATGCCTATCTTATGCTTTTGACAAATGTAATAAACCCACCAGCTACAGGGCTGACTCGAACTCGATCAGAACTCAGCACAAAACTTCGCCTTGCAAAAATAGCAGGACAAGATACAGAAGCTCGTTCGGTTCTTCAACCCAAACAAATTATTGAGTTGGAAGGGCCATAGGCACTGGTGCCAAAAGCCCAAAAAAGAAAACCAAAGCCCCAGACAGAGTAACAGAGTGAAAGGAGGACATTGAAGATTAAGGGACACTCTGTTTCTGTGTGCTACGTCAGCCTAATCGCTTTTCAAGTCAAGTCAATGGAGTTATGGGTAGGCTGTCTTTTTCATTCATTGAATTCTGCAATTCATCATAACATGCTTGGCTTTCGGTTGAAGTTTTTAATTAATTTCCCACAGCTCATCACAGACACCAGCAAACGCTAGTTTGTTCTGGACCACTTCAAGTCGTCGACATCCATGGCTCTTGTGAAAGCAGCAGATCCACAGACCTCCTCTTCTAATGCTTCTCGATATTGTCATTATCACGTGTTCCTGAGTTTCAGAGGCCAAGACACTCGCAAGACTTTCACTGACCACCTCTACACGGCCCTTGTCAACGCCGGATTTCGCACTTTCCGAGACGATGATGAAGTCGACAAAGGAGAAGGTATGGAGCCCGAACTGCAGAAAGCAATCAAACACTCAAGAACTTCTGTTATTGTGTTCTCGAAAGACTACGCATCGTCCAGATGGTGCCTTGACGATTTTTTAGGGTGCGTTAAACATGTTTCATAATAAAGATAAATAAGACGTTTGGGCTGTAAACATATATTGTTTTTCTATCTAATTTTTTAAGTTATACAAGAAAATAGTTAAAGTAATTCTCTTTCATTTTTAGGTACGAGTCAAAGTTTATGAAGAAAATAGTTAAAGTAATTGGAAACAAACTAAGTCGCACACCCTTGAGTGTTGCTCCGAACTTGATTGGAATGTGTTCTCGAGTTGAAACAATTAATTTATGGTTACAAGATGGGTCCCCTGATGTTGGCGTACTTGTAATCTATGGGATGAGTGGAATAGGGAAAACAACCATCGCAAAGACTGTTTACAATTCAAACTTTAGAATATTTGAAGGAAGCAGCTTCCTTGAAAATATCAAAGAAGTTTCACAGCAACCCAATGGCTTAGTTCAAATACAAACACAACTTCTTTCTGACATTTTGAATGGGAGAAAAATGAAAATAAGCAATGTTAGTGAGGGATTAATTAAGATTGAAGATGCAATAAGCTCCAAAAGAGTTCTTCTTGTTCTCGATGATGTGGATCATATGGACCAATTAGATGCAGTATTTCAAATGAAAGATCGATTTTATCCAGGAAGTAAAATCATCATAACAACTAGGCGTGCAAGATTGTTAAAGGCTCATCAAGTTACTGAGGTGTATGCGGTTGGAACTTTGACTCAAGAAGAATCATTGGAGCTCTTCAGTTGGCACGCTTTTGGCCAAGACCATCCTGTTGAAGATTACATAGAATATTCAGAGAAGCTAGTCGATCATTGCGGAGGACTTCCATTAGCTCTCAAAGTTTTAGGTTCTTCTCTGTTGGGGGAAAGTATATGTCTATGGAAAAGTGCATTGGAGAAGTTAGGAGCTATTCCAAATGGCGAAATAATAAATAAACTAAGAGTAAGCTATGACTCTTTGCAAGATGACCATGACCGAAAATTATTCCTCCACATTGCTTGTTTCTTTATTGGAATGGACAAAGATTACATTGCTAAAATACTAGATGGATGTGATTTCTATACAATTGTTGGCATTCAAAATCTCATCGATAGATGTTTGGTGATTATTGATGGAAGGGACAAGGTGCAGATGCACGACCTAATTCGTGGAATGGGAAGAGAAATTGTTCGCCTAGAATCAAAGGAGCCTTGGAAGCGTAGTAGAATATGGCATCATAAGGACTCTTTCAAAATCTTGACGGAAAAGAATGTAAGAAATATGCATTATTTGTACACATATTTGTTTTTATTCTTCTAAAAACTTTCCAAATGTTTTTCCCCTTTCTTCTATAGGGTACAGAAACAATTGAAGGTGTTGTCCTAGACATGCACATGTGCGCTACAAACAGTCTCATAAACTCAAATGAGAAAGTCTTGGAAACCAATGCATTTTCAGGGATGCACGAATTAAAACTACTCCATCTCAGTCATGTAAAACTTGACGGATGTTATGCAGAATTTTGTGCCGGATTAAGATGGTTGTGTTGGCTTGAATTTCCTTTGGATTCTATACCCACCGATTTTCCTGTGGGCAGTCTGATTGTTCTTGAAATGCAGTATAGCGGCTTGAGACAAATCTATGAAGGAACAAAAGTATGTTACTACATGCTTTTCAATTTGTTTTAATTTCATTGAAAACAAAAGTATATATATATCTATAACAATTAATTGCCAACATTGATTTTTCCTTCGTACATCTTTCCCCTACAGTGTCTTCCGTCCTTGAAGATCCTTGATCTCAGCCATTCTCATTCCCTTACAGAAACTATTGACTTCTCATATTGCCCAAATCTTGAGAAATTAGTTCTAGTAGACTGTACAAGCCTGATTTATGTCCATGGATCCATTGGAAACCTAGAGACACTTATTTACTTGAATATGAAAGATTGCAAAAACCTTAGGATGCTTCCCAAGAACATTTGTATGCTAAAATCACTTGAAACATTTATTATATCTGGTTGCTCAAATCTAAATGAGTTATCAATTGAGATGTTGAGGAACATGGACTCGTTAAAAGTGCTTGAGATAGATGGAACTCCGATAAGTGAATTATGGCTAGAAAGAAGTTCGAGTATCTTGGGTTCTTTACCATGCTCTTTAGTACAATTAAGTCTTTGGGGGTGCAATCTTTCGGATGATGCCTTTCCTATGGATTTTAGTAATTTGTCCTCATTGCGGAGACTAAATCTAGGGAATAATCCAATTGGTAGCCTACCAAATTGTATCAAAGGATTAACAAGGCTCCATGAACTCTCTTTGGACAATTGTACAAGTCTCAAATCGCTTCTGGGGTTACCAGAACTAAACCACTTGGATATCACCAATTGCATATCATTGGAGAAAATAACGTATCAATACCCCCGTTTATCCTGGGAAAGCGCTACCAGTTTGCGTTGCAACTACAACCTAGTTGAGTGGGAGTACAGGTACAAGTTACAACCCATTGGAAGTGTAGATGTAGAAATGATCAACCTCTTGGGATTGGGCAACTTGTTGGAATCAATGGCACCCATTCGGATGTACACACTGTACGAAAATTTACAAGAGGATGATCCAATTCCCGTCCAGGTGTGCGCCTCTCTCTCTCTCTCTCTCTCTCTCTCTCTCTCTCTCTCTCTCTCTCTCTCTCTCTCTCTCTCTCTCTCTCTCTCTCTCTCTCTCTCTCTCTCTCTCTCTCTCTCTCTCTCTCTCTCTCTCTCTCTCTCTCTCTCTCTCTCTCTCTCTCTCTCTCTCTCTCTCTCTCTCTCTCTCTCTCTCTCTCTCTCTCTCTCTCTCTCTCTCTCTCTCTCTCTCTCTCTCTCTCTCTCTCTCTCTCTCTCTCTCTCTCTCTCTCTCTCTCTCTCTCTCTCTCTCTCTCTCTCTCTCTCTCTCTCTCTCTCTCTCTCTCTCTCTCTCTCTCTCTCTCTCTCTCTCTCTCTCTCTCTCTCTCTCTCTCTCTCTCTCTCTCTCTCTCTCTCTCTCTCTCTCTCTCTCTCTCTCTCTCTCTCTCTCTCTCTCTCTCTCTCTCTCTCTCTCTCTCTCTCTCTCTCTCTCTCTCTCTCTCTCTCTCTCTCTCTCTCTCTCTCTCTCTCTCTCTCTCTCTCTCTCTCTGATGCATTTCATAATTTTACTCCAATTATTTCCAGATATAAAATAAAACAAAATAATAAATGAATCTATATTTTGTCAGTCCCTATTCATTTCAAAAACAAGTTTCCTCTCTAATTTGTTGGGATTTTCACTTGTCTTGTATATATGTTTTCCAGAGGAGGTTTGCTCTCGTTTTGTATGTTTACCAGACGAAGAAGAAGAGCGACAGGGTGATATCACAGTTGCAACCACCACAGGCAGCAATAACTCCGGCAGCCTCCGTGGCTGGAAGGTGCTCGTCACCACAGCTTGCTTCTTTCTCACCCTTACTCTAATCACTCGGTGTAAGCGCCTTGGGGACTCTGATGAAGAAGATAAGAGAGGTGTGATGTTTTATTGACGCATTTCATAATTTTACTCCAATTATTTCCAAATATAAAACAAAAAAAAAAATTAAATGAATCTATATTTTGTTAGTCCCTATTCACAAGTCAGTCCCTATTCATTTCAAAAACAAGTTTCCTCTCTAATTTGTTGGGATTTTCACTTGTCTTGTATATATGTTTTCCAGAGGAGGTTTGCTCTCGTTTTGTATGTTTACCAGACGAAGAAGAAGAGCGACAGGGTGATATCACAGTTGCAACCACCACAGGCAGCAATAACTCCGGCAGCCTCCGTGGCTGGAAGGTGCTCGTCACCGCAGCTTGCTTCTTTCTCACCCTTACTCTAATCACTCGGG